CTTAAAGTTAGGCGGGGATTTGGTGACCTTTTTTTTTTTGAAATAAAGGATTTGGTGACCTTAAATCTCATGAAATGCTGATATACTAACCACTCCATTTGATTTTTTTTTTTTTAAATTAGAAAGAACCAAAATACGAATTTTCTTGTCCTTGATATTAAACCCATGTTCGTTAGATTCTTATCTGTAACTAATGTTGATATTTTTCTAATGGGTTTTGACTAATTATATTCAAGTTGTTTTTAATATTTTATATCTAATGACGGTGACACAAAATGTAATAGAGATGGCTTACTTAACATTATGAAAAATCCTCACTTATCCATTTTTTTTTATTTAATGAAAAATGGATTTGATAGATTATAATGCTGAGTGCATCTGCAAATAAGTTATCAAGATTAAAGGAACAAGCAGAGGAATATGCAGCTTTGATTATGGAAGAATTAGATCCTGAAAGACTTGGCTACATAGAGGTTAGTCCTTAATTACTTTTGTAATTATGTTACAAATTAAATTAAAAATTTACATGCCATCACATGTTTTGTTTTCCGTGCTTGCATGATGCGTATATTATATTGCAAAAATATTTCAATACTTTCGTTACACAAACTGAATAAAGTATGCTAAACCGCCGCCCATAAATAGAATTAATTCTTTTTATTTTTTGTCAACAAAATGGAATTAATTCATTACTTTTTATATCAATGACCTCACAGGTTATAAAAATTACTAGCATTGAATTATTTTCTTTTTTTACTCTTACATCATTTTCGACACCTAGATTTTTCTATTTACTAGCTCAAATATAGTATCAACTTTTTCTTTTCTTTTCTAACTCATTAGCTAAAATTTGACACTCAATTAGTAACTTAAATGGTAGGTGTAGTTACGATTAAACTATTTTTCAAGTTTCTAATTTAAAGTTAGAAAATGAGTACACGTTACTGCTTTAGCTTGTCTTGTTATGTAAGTATATCTTAACTTGTGACTATGATTCATTAAGGCAAAAAATTCAAAAACTTAACGCTATCATCTTTCTTTCTTGTGTAGCTATGGCAACTAGAGACACTGCTTCTACAAAAAGACACATACCTAAATTACAGTCAAGCATTGAGTTATACAAGCCAAGCATTGAGCCAAAACCTTCAAGGTTTAAGAAAAAAGAGTCGAATACATCGAATGAGCTCGGATTGCGTCTACTTCATGCAAGAGAATTGGAAAAGGATATGGGTTTTGTCTTTATGGATCATGATCATGATCGGGTTATTCTTGTGGAAATTCTTCCAATACAAGCAAAAAGATGCGTTTCATGTGATGGGTTATTGCTTACTCACAGCAAAAGGAGCAGCTGAAACACTTAAATTCAACATGGCTCTTATACTTTTCCCAGTTTGCAGAAACACAATCACTTGGCTCAGATCCACAAGACTCTCTTACTTCGTTCCTTTTGATGATAACATCAACTTTCACAAGGTCAGTGAACTCCCCCAAAAGCCCTGT